GTCGTAACATGTACTTTCGGCGGTGACATGTACTTTCGGCGGTGACATGTACTTTCGGTCGTAACATATATTTTCAGTGGTGATATGTACTTTCGGCGGTGACATGTACTTTCGGTCGTAACATATATTTTCGGCGGTGACATGCCATTAAAAAAATTAACATAGCTAAGCTGCCACCTGTATTGGTCATACAAGATTTTATGTAGAGAAAACCCAGCACATTTCGAGCATCGTCGACAACTGACTTTGCCTTACGTATTCTTTAAGTCGAGCGCAATACAATTACAATAGTACTATATATATATATAGTACTATAGTAGTGCAATAACATATTACAAAATAAAAATTTCTATTTTGGTGTTGTGTTTTGCACATATGCAGGCTTTCTATATCTTTCTATATCTTAATATTTTCAATTAATTTTGTTTATTTAGAAACTGAAGATTGACTTTTAGTTTTATCTCTAAAATAAATTTGTCAATAATGACAAAAAATAAATTAATATATACTAAAATATATCGAATATAAAAGGAGAGCTCTAAATGACCTCCAAAAGCCTCGTTACGCGTTATAATAAACGTATTAATAATAACAAAAACAAGACTGAGGGAGACTGTTCGCAAACAAAAGTGGTTAATTTAATATTGAATAAAATAATATAAAATAAATTAAGTTGACATAGAAATAATTGACACGTGCGGTTGCCCGGACTTGTTACTGTGCATATTGGCAGGATTGTTGTTTTATAATTTGGTTTATTTTTGAGGGGGGAATTTTTTGAGTTGTTATCATGTATAACTAGAAACGAGGAAATGACAAGTTGGTCAAACTAGGAAATTATTATAGACTTGTTGCGTTTCTGTCATCAATAACAGTAGTAACGCTGTTAATTAATAGCTATTTAGTTGCTTACTCTTTCATTCTCGTTATTTGTAAGGGCAAAGATTTAGTTTCTTGACATGGTATCCCATTTTGAAATGTTTGCAAAGCAAAAGCATGTGTTCTGAAGTAAATATGCGCAATGGTATACATATAACAGTGAAATCATATAATAAGTATGTGTGCAGCAAAAATAATTTGTTTTCTTTTCGTTTATTTTGAAGTAATGTTCGCTAAATGCTTCAATGATTTTCAGTAAAAAAAGAAAAGTTTTATTAAAAAAATATGTTGTAATTTATTACATTTATCTATCCAATCTTATCTAATTTTTTTATTTTATTTTTCCATTTTCATAAAACTTCAACCAGCTTTTTTTTCATTTTCATAGAACTTCAACTAGCTGTCTTTGGAAGGGTATGAGAAGTGCCAATAAAATTAGCAAAGCATCTCTATATATACATCATAAAGTTTAATCCCATATATTACTAATACCTAATACAATACGGATACAATAGTAATAAGAAAAACTAAAAAAGAAATGCAATAGTCAACTGGTTATTAACCGTCCTTCATACAAAGAAGAAAGAAAATTCGTCCCAAATTGAATATTGATAATGTACAAAGGCAAAGATACGAAAATTCTTCTACACATGATATATGTTTATGAATACCATATTGCCATTATGTTGTGTGTTTGTTCGTATAGAAAACAAAATAAAATATAATTTTCCTTAGTTAAAATAATCACATAGACAGAAAATCGATTGTAAGAAAAATTTGGGTCTGAAATGCAAGCAACGATCACAACGGTAGTCAGTTCATATCTCTTTCCGTCTAAAAACCGTTTGTTTCAGCTTCGTGCATTGATGTATTATATGGAAGGAGAAGAGAATAAAAGAATCAAAAATCTGTAATGCGAAGCCTTAGAACAATGAGAAGTGATAAAGGCTAAAGGCCGTTTGCGTGGAGATGAGATTTTGAAATGCAACAAATTAATATACCAAAGGTGCCGAAAAATAAATTCAAGACTAGCAAAACTTAAACGACTTAAACATTTTCATTCTATGTCTTCCCCGCATATCAGCAACAACCACCACAACAACAATGACAACAATAGCAATAGGGGGTACTAGAGTAGGATAGGCTAAGAGAGCTAGAATTACAGTAAAGACGTTTAGTCAAGTTTGTAAGAGTAAAGTATGTGAGAGGGGAGTTGTTTGCGGGGTCAGCGAAGGAAT